TATCTGCTTTCGTCAGTGATGATGGATTCGAGCAGGAATCCGAAACGACAGGCTAATAAAGCTCTTGTCCCGGCGATCGTGTCTCCTTCTTCCAGACTGCTTCCTGGGACTCGTCTTTTCGCTTCAATTGGCAATTAAGATGAGGGTTAGAGTTAAGGTCAGGACTGGGATTGAGTATGTGGCTAGGACAAGGATTAGGGTTTGAATTACGGCTAGCGCTAGGGTGTGGACTATGAAACGGGATTAGGTACCTTTTTCTAATTGACAGGGTGTTCCTTTTTACGTATCTTACCAAATTCCGTAATAACAAACACGTTTACATTGACAGGTGCCCTCGCTTTTAGTGTGGCACTTGAAAAAGACGTGCTCCACTGCAAAAGAAACACAACAAAGTTTGCGTTGTGTATACCTTCTGTAAAATATGACTGGACTTAAAAGGACTTCAAAAATCAGAGGCAAAACTTGATTTTCGGCCCTCTACGTTATTGAAAGCATACTAAACAAATAGTCACTTTAACGAATGAGATGTTTGTGGGAAACCACTGAAATGCACATTCAAAGGCTGAAATCCTGGCTTGACTGATACATCATGGAATTTTGCCGCATGTTGGTTAATATTACACCCCACCAAAGTAATCCTTTCTTACCGTAATCCGGTTTCATACTTTCGGTTAACGTTTCGTGAGATGGCCATACACTGGGACCATACTTATCTGTCATATTTCAGCTAATGCGTTTGCAGATCTAACTGACACCGCCATACAAGGGAAGTAAACCTCATTTGTGCTAACCAAGCCCCGGTACAAATATGACTAAAGCTCATTCCCACCCTTCAGCTCCACATCCTCGTGTTCACAACAATATGTTACCTCCTGGAAAACCCGAAATCAAATTTGATGGGGAAGACTTACGGAAGAGTTCTCGTTAAAATGCTTAGTCTTTTGAAATATGTGACTTCGGTTGCTGTAAGCAAAGGATTAACTTTAAGTCATTCACTATGAGCAAAACTGTATTTGAAAGTTAAAAGAAACGGCTCGAAAACCGGTCTCGCCAGGTATTTATAGGGAAACCTCTCCTCCAAAGTCAAATATTTTTTGGTCTGTATCCATTTTCAATAACACTTTTTACTGCCAAATATCAGTTCTTCATTTCCTCAAATGGCTGTGAATTGCGTAAGATGCCTAAATCGTCCATTGGAGTGGCGTTGAAGGCATCAGTTAGCGCAATATACCTGAGCAGATACTTTTTCGCTCGGGCAAATGAGGTCATAATAATACGGTTTGCAAAGCCGTAAGCTTACAGCCGTTCTCTAAGTATCTTTATCTAGTAACTATTGGTTATTAACCAAAAATGCCCCCACTTCCTTGAATGCCACATTATTGATCCAGAGAAAACCAGTTTTATGTGGAAAGTTAGTAGGAAAAGTTCAAAGTTCGTGATCTGTTTATTTTTTGGACATGGTAAAATTATTTTAATCCCGTACACTCAAGCCACTATATCTTAACTTAAAACGTATAGCAAATCCAATACATCTTTTTTCTCCATTTTTCTTTGTTTAATTTTAAATACATGAGTAAGATGTGGTTTGGTAGCCCCTTATTGGTAGCCCAACCTGATGATGGGGTTGGGGCCAAGAGTTAGAGATAGGGGTCAGGGTTAGAGGTTATGGTTATGGTTACAGGTTACGGTTAGCGGTTGGGGTCAAGAGTCGGCGCAACTATTTCTCAGCCATTGAAAGTCCACGCTCTCCCAATAGCTTTTCTTTTGCATGCAACTACTTGACCTCGTCGCCTGTCCGTTCCCCGGCTCCAGCTGTAAAAACCCCCTATTACCACGGGTCCCATATTAGAGGTGACTGGGGTTTGTTTACTTCAGATGGAGCTACCAAACCACATCCGACCAATAAAATTAACTTTTTTGAGATTCATATTATATGTGCATGGCGCCCTGAGGCGCTCATGTAACGGCCGGCCACCCACCTTGCAAGATCGTCAGATATATATATATGTACGTACGTGTGCTAACCCATGAAATGCTAACCAAAATTTTGACATGCGCTTTCTACACTAACGTATTACTTAAATAGGGTTACGATATCAATTACCGCGCAGCACAATCTCAAGGTATTTCAGTTACTTCGGGATGCCGGTTTTTGAAGGAGCTTATTTTGGGCCGCTTACGAAAAATACACTCTGCAGAAAATGACGACCTAAGCAGTACGAATTTGTCTCATTGATTTTCGATGTTCTAGTAAACTCAAAATTATTTCATAAAACGCAAGCATAAAGTACTCAGTCTCTTACTTATAGTAGGAAATTACGCCTTCTGCAAAATTTTGTACTTGGAGGAAGGATATAATTCGGTTTTCAAAAGCTTTCCCAGTTCTTGAATAATTTTGCACCCAATCCGTCGTTATCCTTACATTCAAGCATTTCAAACCACAAGATGTATACTTTTTGTGTGCGGGAAACCATATATATATGCTAGCACGGGGAGACCATATGGGGTTTAGAAAATTTAGCAACAGATTTGAGCCATATTATGAAATTGATAATCAACGTTAGTAAATGCAGGGACACGATGTTTCATGAGAAGGCTTTGCACAGTTTTAGAAAATTTTCTAACCAGAAGCGTTTTTCGTAACTAGATCTTACCCTTCCTTCAAGTATACAATTTTGTAGAAGGCGTAATTTTCTATTATATTATATATTTTATATTATATGAATATTAAGCGGTTATTCCGCAGTAGCTGATGGATTTCAGCTCAAATATTCATATCAAATTTCGGACCGTGCCTGAAAAGGCCTGTTTCGAAAGAGTTACTCCAAGTTCGCGCATTAATTTCCTCGGAAATTAAGTAAGGCAAGTTGAAACTGGAGTTCATATACCAGAAAACACACGGGGAAAGCTGGGGGACCCACTGACGAGCCGAACCCCTCGCAGCTGCGTCAGGCAGCGGCACAAGATCGGCGAAACACGCGTGTTTGGGTTTTTAGCTAATACCTGTGTTGTTAGTACGGTAAATTATTGCATAAAAGAATGAATATTCTATGCATGCTATCTATGAAATATAATTGGGTCATCGAAATTCGATGAGAAAAGTGCGTGCTGAACGAGAAGTCATTTTCTACAAAGTGTATTTTTGTAGGCGGCCCAAAATAGGTCCTTTCATAGGCCGGAATCTCGAAGGAAGAGAAATATCTTGGGATTATTCTGTACGGCAATTAATATCGCAACCCTATTTATGTAAGCTGTTCGAGTCACAAACGCATTTCAGAATTTCGGTTAGCATTTCATGAGTTAGTACGCCAGCGTATATATACTTGTCTGTTTGATGCCAACCTCGGCCCGGTCAGTATATTTGGCGGAAGGTATAGTTTTGGAAAGTGAAGAGTTTCCATCGATTCAAACAGTTGGACTCGGCATATATTGGTCTCAGAGTACACTAAATCCGGAAACAGGGTATCCGCACAAAAGCACGCAGTAAGAACGAATCAGTGCTCGAATTAGGTTATCTCAGGACGTCACTTCCCATGTACAGACCTTCACTCGTGTTCGGCAGGCAGTCCGATGGCTATTCTGTGGCACATCTTTTCACTCTGAAGGAAGACAGACTCAAATTGCATAAAACGAAAAGTTTCTGGTCTGTAAAGCACTGAAAGCAGGTTGCTAGTATTTCCTGGGGCTTTCTATACGGCAAAATTAAGCGCTGCTGGAAGTCTTCTCACATGGTTTCAACCGTCGGCCCTGAGCTGGCAGCAGGCACTGAATCTTCAGGAGGAAATTTAACTTGTCCTGGACGTGGGAACATACGCATAAAAGTGCTCATAGTACGTTGTTCTGCGTCATATTTTCATCGCCACAACTGATCTTTTATAAAACCTGTCTTCTGGGCGCTAACCTTCCGGGATTGTTTGTTGCCCGCATCTCCACCATCAAAACCATTGCATTTATGCGGTCCTTTGTGAAATTGAGCTTTCCGCCAGTCCACGTCAGTGGTCGTGTTTACTTCAAGCGCCGACAGGAAGTAAAACTGCGGGCGATGCCGCCCTTTCTGCCAGACAAGCTCATTTTTATAACTCTGTCTTCCAGCTTTCTTCCTGCCACAAAGGCGTCCCGGGCCTTACTCCGCAGCCTCCTTTGTGCATGCGGAGACGAGAATGAAAAGTTAACGGTACACCTATGATCAATCTTTTTCTCATCAGAACGGCTCCATTGTCTTCTAGGAAGCATCGGTAGTTGACTCGCGAACACGCAGTGTAAAGAGTAACAATCTGCTGAGATATTTTCCGCACTGTCTTAGAGGCGGCTCAAGGAACCACGGAGACATTCAAGGGCCGGTGTATGGGAGCCCCGAGAAATATAACAATCAAAAAAGCGGGCTCATGCCGTCTGGGGCACTCAGGTCAATCATCCTTTTGCTCCCTATGAGGCCAACGACCTCAGGTATTCTCGTTGCTAGCGCTCTCGGAGTCTTTGATGCCTTGTCTCTGGAAACTGTTTCGATCATCCACTAGTTTCCGGAACTAAATGGATCATATCAGCTGGGGCAGGTGCGGTCAACCGATGATCTTGTTGTTTAAATAGCTGTTTCAGCTCTAACTATAAAGTTTACCTTTAAAGAATTAGGTAGCACACGCAGCCTTGCTAGGGCATATTCTTGGGGTGCTTCACGTTCGACGAGACGATCTATGAGCAGGTGAAGGGCACACCAATGGGTTTGCCGATTTCGGGATTCATCGCCGAATCGGTCCTGCAACGGTTAGAATCGCTGGACTTAAAACACCACAGACTGAAGTTCTGGGGTCGATATGTGGATGATACCATCGTCGTTATCGACCGGGATCAACTACTAACCCACAAAAAACTCTGAATGCGGTTCTCCCGGACACACATTTTAAGATGAAGGAGGAAAAGAACAACCAGCTGGCCTTCTTCGATGTCCTCGTATGCAGCAAATATTGTGGTGGTCTAAAGACCAGAGGGTTCAGGAAAGCGACATGTACGATGCAATGATTGAACTTCAACAGCAACCACCCAGCCAGCCACAAACACAGCTGCGTAAGGATGTTCAATCGGCGAGGTCGAGGAGGGGTGCGTTGGGGCGACGATGACTACGACTTTGGTCGCAATGGCAAGAATACCGCTTTATTTACTTCGCCACGTACCTTTCGCGGTTTTTTCATTAACTCAGAAGACTAATCACCCGAAAACTCTTTTTTAGATAGATGCATCGGGAATGGGAACACATGATTACTGACACAAACACGCAGTTCATGAAGATCAGTGGCATCGAGTGGACGGCTCACCAACTGGACCACCTTTAGATGGAAATTCCACTGGGAATTTAGTTCTCAAGTAACAAAAACCGATGTTTTTGGGTTCTTTTTCGCGCGCCAACAGCCGTGCATTTTTGCTTCATCTGAGAAAACCTCTGCTATCTCCTCAAACCCACCAAATCATAATGCTGGCTGGGATGTAACCCGATCTCCGTTGATGGCAAACTCCGGTTTTCGACCACCCACCGGTCTCGTGCGCCGTCGTTGGCGACTTTTTTCATGCACTCTGGTCAAATACCAACTGGAAGTAGATACACTGTCCGGAATTGCTTTCAAGGCCAATTTTTATTTTTCAGGGCGGCATGATATGCGGAGAGACGTACGTTAAACGCATAAATTAGGGGTAATGACCACCGTCTTACAGCGCTTATCGACAGTAGGTTGTCTCTAATTTTTGCACGCACCGAAACCGTTTATCCGTCCCCTTTTGGATTCCACCCGCCGACCCTACGTTTGCAGTCGTTTAACTACTTGCATTAACGGCACAAACAAAATTCTACCGCTGTGCACAAGAATACTTTTCAGCTTATTTGCTGAGGCACCGTCGAACGAAAAAACAATTAAAAGCGAGGAATAATTTGGGAGTAAATCACTTTTTATAATTTTACTATGACGTCGAAGGAGATGCTTCAATTAAGACGGACCGAATTTAGAATTTTGTGAAGGCAGATTGTGAAAACAATAAACTCTCATAACCATAAGATGTCTTTATATAGACGGAATCGAAATCAAACTCATCCTCAAGGACAACTTAAAATCCCCAAACGTGGCAGGCAGGGCGGCAAAAATTAAAATATCATGTACTGAGCACAAGTCGGATAGCCGCTGGCTGTTGAATTTGGTCATCTCACAGCCCGCAGTATCTAGATGTGAGTGTAATGTTGCCCACTTCGTGTCCCACTGAAACCTTCCCGGATTATTACATATCATGTTTGAGTGCGAATCATTATTGTGCCTTACGGGCTCTCTCTTGATCATATATCATGCGCCACTATGCGGCTGTTGGTTGGGCTCAAAAGAGAGCTTGTATGATACAACGAGACAAGTGACTTCCGTAGAAAGGATCGGTGGGCGCCCCTCTACCATTTTATATTCCAGATCGCAACCGATAGGACAACTGGCCCGCGGCCTAGTGGTTAGTGGCGTGGACTTCTAAATAACAGGTCGCGAGTTTGAGCCTCGGGTGTTCCACACTTCGGAGTTGGGTATGACTGGCTGACAACGGCTCATAAACCAGCAATGGCCATTCCAGTCTCCCTTGCCTTTGTCAGTAATAACATTCTGCGGCTGCTGACTGGGCTCGAGACAGAGAGCTCGTAAGGCACAATGGAACGAGTGAGTTCCGTAAGAACGATCGATAAACGCCCCTCCACTATTCTTTCACCAGCTGATTGAGAGGCTTGGACAGTTGACTGGTGCATAAGACTGGTAAGAAAGAACAAGGGTGACACTAGAAATTCCATTCTCATGGCAACTCCGCTATGGGGACCAGGTCGTGTGCGTGTGACACGAATAGATGAGTTGTCTAGCTTTTGAATAATCGGACACGATGGCTGGGACCAGACGTTTATTAGCCTGACGTTTCGGATTCCTGCATGGAAATGCGACAAGACTGAGATTCTCACTAGAGGTGACAATGGCGTGAGCCGGGAGCTGCTTGAGTCATGGTTTACTGGCCCCCAGTCCATTAACAAGTACAATGATCTTCTCCATCCGTACTCGGTACTGAGACTTCGCCTAGGTGGAGTAATTAGCCATGCGGAGAGCGCACAGGTGAACATTCTTCCCACCGCCAGGATCGGTGGGTCAGATGGTCGAGCAATCATCACATTAACATCCAACAGGCGTGATGAGATTGTAGCAATTAACGACTTGAATGTCGTGTAACGCCCCTGGACATGAACAGAATTGTTTGAATTTGTAACACTTCCGCGCGAGGACCTAGGATGGACATGGCGTAGCCGCGTGTCGGTAAAGGTTGCCGGTGACCCTTCCTATCTCTTTCGCCGATCCCTTCCCCCGCTCCGTACCGTGACGTAACATTCGTATCGCTCCTCTCGCTACATCGGCAACCCCCTCGGCCCCTCCCTGCAGTTGCCCCCAGTGCTGCGTTCCCCACCGGTTTTCCAGCTGGCATGTTGGCCTCGCCTCTCCACCCAGACAGGTTATTTTATGGCTGTAACTCATTCCACCTGTACGAGTAACTATTATTATATGTATCTCCCATGACCGTCTTGTTATACTATACTGTATCCCGTTCCCGACGTACCATTTCCTGCTGTGTATGAATGAGTACTCAGAGATGCTAACATGCCTGTTCAGATCTATCTCCTCCAGGATCTACTCTCCGCGTTTCCTTACCTTGGTGTGTGCTACCCTTGACGTCCTCGGCCCCTACAGTCTGCCATCGAACAGTCATCACACCAAGTGCAAAGATCCGTGAATATTCATAGGAATGCGTTGGCATGGCGACTGCATCCTATAAATACTGCAGCCCCTTGTACATGAACCACCCGTGTCTGCTTTTGTCTCTGATGATGGGTTCGAGCAGGAATCCGAAACATCAGGCCAATAAAGCTCTTGTCCCAGTGATCGTGTCTCCTTCTTCAAGACTGCTTCCTGGGATTCGTCTCTTCGCTTCTATTGACATTAACTAGCTTTGCCAGTCACTGCGCCCGCACGGTTGTCTTGGCATTATCATACCCTCGGAACAGGGAAAGATTGCGGTTGACGCTGCGAAAGTCTGCCTCGCGCGCAAGTCAACAGTCTTGACTGAGACGGTCAGAGGGTTGATTAAATATATGTTACGCTTAATCTCAGATATAATCACTTGGCAAGGCTTGGCCTGTTCCTTTGTTGCCGCAAAACTCAGGTTGGGCTCGAGTGGCATAAGCACAGTAGGTTATCCAAAATGATGTCGATCATAATTTGGAGTAGACAGTTTGTTAACTGAAAAGAAGAAGAAGAAGAAGAAGAAGAAGAAGAAGAAGAAAAAGAAGAAGAAGAAGAGGAAGATGATGATGATGATGATGATGATGAGGAGGAGGAGGAGGAGGAGGAGGAGGAGGAGGAGGAGGAGGAGGAGGAGGAAAAAGAAGGGTGTGAGTGGCGACTTGAGGAAAGCCGTGAGTTAGACTTCGCCAGCACGCGGATATTGGCGCGAGCCGGCAACAAGAGAGGGCGAGAACTGTTGGAGGCGTGGGTGTCGGACATCAGCTCTATCAATAGACCCATTGATTTGCCTGCGTGTTGCCACGCGCTCCGGTCACGCAGCCAGATGGCGCAGCTCACATCGTCGCGAAGTGCAAACGGTGTCACCACGCCGGGGGACCATTGTGGACCAGGTGGCACAAACCAGACCTAGCCACGGACGTAGTCCCCCCCCCCTTCCACCCACACGACACAACGATAGAAACGTTCACTCGTTGCTGCACTCTAGCAGTCTCTGATGATAAACTCCAGTTCGAGTTCGAAAGCTAAGGCCAACAAATCTACCGTACCAGTGATCGTGCTTTCGCTTTCTTTTAAGCAAGAACCTGGGATGCGCATATTCTCTGCCATTTTTTAACTCCCCTTGCACCACAGCTTGTAGGCGGTTTTTCACGTGCAAATTCAGGACACGCAAATATTGGGTGGACGTTCCGTTGGGCCTGATCTTAAGCAATCCCGACTAAACTTAGTACATCACTAGCGAGATAGTGTCAGCCTGCTCTAACACTCAAAGCTGGCGAAACCAATAATGGCCGATCGATAAAATCAGGGGTTGAACACCGATAAACGCAAAGAAGCTGAGACAATTGCAGTTACCAAAACGTTTATGGTTTGACTATCCTGGTGCGCAGAAGAGCCCAGACGAAGGAGTCCTCTCTGTTACTAATGCAGAAAATAGCGCCAAGTCCAGCATAACGCTCGTTGTTTGGGTTTGGACACTGCCTATGCATAAACCTAAGTGGCATCTTCAAATTTTCCTCTCTAGAAAGGTTTCCAAAAAACTTGCACACAGTAAGTCTAGTAGGAGAGTCATTAGTATAGTCTGGCAGGCCATGAAACCCCAGTAAGAACTTCAAATGCAGTACACATAAGGAAATGCGTAAGTAATTTTTGAGGGCAATTCAGGTGTGGCTGCAAAACCCCGTCTCAGGAGGATGTTAGCTTGGTGAAATCACACGATTTTCCCAAAAATTACACTGAAACTATTCGGAAAACACACTTAAAACTAATCATTGAGGGAAAGGTCGCAAATCAGATAGCAGTATGTCCGCAACAGTACTGCTTAAAAAGCATGACGGTAGGTAAATCCAATGTTATCTCCCCAAAAATCTTGTTTAATGGTCGCCAAAACACTTGAGTGAAATAGGGCAGAAGAGCTTAAAAATCGCTCGAATGCGTAGTTTTCGGTGGCGTTCATCAGCCTGTCTAGGTTTCAAAAATACGCATGCCGGTATTTCAGACACTTGTCACTTGTTATAAACAATGAAATATGTCTTGTTGTGCTAAAGGAAGAGACTGGGTATTGCTCAGAATTACTTTCCCCTCTATGGTTAACTTTACTTGGGCTGCTTTGTTGATAGAATTCCTGAAAATGTGGTAAGATGAACAGTTTGCGGGTTTGCGGCGGGGTACATCACAAATATCGCCATTGTCAAGTAGGATGACATTTTGGTCAGGGAGAGATAGAGGAGGAAGGGGAATTTTATTTCACTTCACACCCTTTGTGATCAAAGTTTCTAAGCACTGCCTATTATATTAAAAACTTTGGGACATTGTCTCGTGTTTATGTAAATGAATTCTCAGCCTATATCCTGATCTTTCACTCATATTGGCCATTCAGCCAGTCAAGAAAATTCAAGGGGGAGAGGGGCTTAGACTCCATGAGAGAATATGATAATGTAAAACGTCTAGGGGAAACGAGTGTGGCAGTGCAGCGCTCGGGGTGACTAACTTTTAAGTATGGCAGTCGGTTGGGTAACTTTGGTGTGCGCCGCAATGTTTGCCGTCAGGACGTGTTGGCAAATGACACAATAAATACCCCCCCTTCCCCTTACGAAGACGAGGGCTACTGCAGCACTCATCTCCGTTTTTTTTGCTGTCGGCAGCCAACCATACTTCAATCTCAGGAAGGACAGACCCGGGACTACGGGTGGAGCCGAGTTGGTCAAACGCTTCAACATGGATTTGCGAGTTCGCGTCCACTCGGCCGACACGCCGACTTTGAAAACACATGGGATCTGGATTCACCTCTCCAGAGCTAGAGGCAATATCATCTAGTAGAGGCTGAACCGATGATCACTTTCTTTTACAGGGCCATTCACTGATTGCATTGCGGGGCACACTCGTCCCATTGTGACTTTGGACACAAACTCGAGCCTCAGGGGTTGCAAAACCTGGGGTCAGGCAAAACTGGCTGATGACGACTAATAAGCCAGAAACGCGTATTCCAGTCTCCTTTGTCTTTGCTGGTATTGCTGATCTGCCTGTGATACTAGCGGCTGAGCGGCTGCTGGCGGGGCTTGAAATCAGGCTCTAAAGCACAACGGACCGGGTGTCTCCTCTAACGCAATCGGTGAGCGCCTATCTACCTATCTACTCGACAAATATGTTTTTGGTAGCCTTCAAGTTGTTAGTTACCTAAAGACTTTATATTCGCATTCACTTCGGTAGGGCAAATAAGTTGACGGGATTGATTTGGAGCATATGATGTCAGCGAGTAATTGGACCTGGCACTTCCGCGTCAACGGAAAACGCAAAAAGGAACAAAGCCCAGAGGTGAGTGGATGGACGAGACTTTTCACCCTTGCCAAGGAAGCATGCCCTTAAGTTGTTGAAGTAAGATCTTAAGAGGTATGATTTCAGCGCACTTAGGGCGTTGAACTGGTGTTCGTTATGACTTGACTAAGTATTTGCAGTCGTATATCTACAGAACCATTTCAAACTGGCATATTGTAGGATTGCTATACCATCCGGCTGCTAAAATAAAGCTCGTTGCTCAGAAGAGAGGACCGATCGGTGGGTTATGAATTTTGCACGCATGGAACTTCAGCGTTGCACTTAGATCCAGCATCAGGAACAGCGTCAGATAAAGAGTAATGCAGGTTTGGAGGGTGCACTATTTAAAGACTGCACTTGCCATACCACCACATGCCTATTATGATTAACCACACCGTATTCATCACTAGTGGTTGTACTTGATAGCCCGATCAACCGCGTTCGAGTCAATAATTGACGCATACGAGGTTGAGAGAGCCATGGTCTGCTGATATTGGCATAGCAGACGCTTACAGACCTTTTGTCCCAGAAGGGTGATACGACGCCCTTCATTTACTTGGGCTGTGAGCCTTCAAGGAAGGGTAATCAAACAGTCCTTGAATGAGAGGCACTATCCTCAAGGCCCACACATACACTCCTCACATACGTGAGAGTGCCACAGACCAGATAAGATGCAGCCGTTACAGCTTAGCCTTCAGCCCACCAGTCCGCCTCTTCACACAAACACACACACACAACTGGGCAGACTGTGTGGACTGAATTGAGGCGTCAGTCGGCAGCCTTCCATGCTGCGGCGCTTGGTGCACCGTGATGATAATCTCCGACTCGGATCACACATGAAGGCCCATGGCGAAGGAGCCGAGAAGCACACTCCCCAACTGCTTGGGAGGTGGCAACCAGATGCTTGTGATGTGTGATGGTGTTGGGAGGTGCTGGTGCTGGTTGGGGAAGGTGTGGTGGTGTGGTGTAGCCGGCGGTTGTCTACCGCAGGTTTTCGTGGACGCGCATGTGTCCTAATAGGCGCATGCGGTGAGTGAGCGCACGGATGCGGTGAGAGCCGTTGAGGCGGATGCGGTGAGTGTATTTTGGTGCTCCAGTCACCGGTTCGCCAGTCCCTGTGCGATGGAATCACAAGTGACCGGTCAGGCCATAATGCGCGATAATAAATATTACGTCAGCTAAAAGGTCCATTATAGCCGAAAAGACATTTAAGAATTTCGGCTGGCATTTCCCAAGATAGACCGAATACTGTAAACTTCAAACAATAATCCTTTGCCCCCTCGTAAGGTCACTGGATTTTTCGATGGAAAAGGAATGCGTCAGAAGGCAGATTTAAGAAAGTCTTGTCTAATGCTTGTCCGGTGTCTAGGTTGCCAACATATCCCCGTTTATCATTGATGCACTGAATTCGCTGATGAAAACAAGCCTTATTTCTAGACAGCCTCCCTAGGTTCGAGTGAACATTTTTTGCGTAACAGAAAGTTCTGTAAGATCCATAAGTTGCCTAACTGTTACCTATTACTGGCGTACAAGTAGAAGTATTTTATCACTCCATCCTACTCCGGAAGTCTGGAAACTACGACTAGTTTACTGTTTCACCCCTAATTAGGATGCCGCCTGTTGCTTTTTAGGACAGGAAACAGACAGCATTAACAGAGTGAACAACTCTAACATCACAATCACTGTACGTAAATCGGCTTCTCAACGCCTCTTCTCAAGTCTCCTCTGCTCAACTGGTGCGTTTCCATTAGTTGATCTCTGGGCGATAGAGTGTGCAGACATCTGGCGGATTTGCGGCACCAGAATGCCGAGTATTATGGCTGGGTGGGGTACTAAATGCTGACTCGAGCGGAGGCTTGTTAAGCAAGACTTTTATGCGGCCGAAGTGGGATGAAGGGAATGGTGCTCGAACTCCGGGTCTTCTTAGCAAGTGTTATCTCCAGAGTCGTGAAAGGCAATGTTAAATCTCAGAACTTCAACATCTTCTGTACAGAATGTGTACATTGGACTATTATTTACGAGGCGGTGCCAAAAAGATGCGAATTATTTATTTCGAAAGACTTGCTGGCGAGTCTGTGTTTGTTCTCAATAAATTCTTGCCAAGCCGGTAAAGAATGGCTACATAAGTAGCATGTATTTTTCACATTGATTTCGTTGGTCATATTCAAATGTATTTCATAAAAAACATAGACAAAAAATCCTTCCTTTTGCTCGTTTGATGGAGAATGACGGCGTCTTTTTGTTATATACTTAAGAAAGGACTATAATTAGGTTATAAAAAAATTACTAATTTTGAGATTTCTAAGTCTGTGCAATGTCCATTCACACAGCATCGTACCTGTCCGTTTCCCGCCGCCCATCATGAAATGTACAACATAGCCCGCATCCATTGCAAAATTTGAGGGGCTTTATGTGGTATTTTCTTAAGGGTATAGAAGTATGTATGATTTTCTATACACGGAACGCATGCACCCTGTAGACTGAAATCACTAAGCGTTAATGCAACGGCTGATTAGACCAAATCTACCCTAGGATAAGAAAACTTTTTAAAAACTTAATAATACTCCTTCTTAAGTATACAACAAAACAACGCCGTCA